GACTTCTCTTGCTCTAAAGAAACGATAGGGCATCGAGTTTTCAATAAAGCTACCTAGCAAAGAGTGCACTTCATGAAGCTAATTAGGAACTATGTTCTTCATTTTACCTTCAAGTAACTATATGAGATCTATCTAGCTTACAAAATAAAACTCACCTCTAAGTAACCATATGAGGTCAAAATTGACTACTAGAAAATTGGCCATCCTTTCTTTATTCTCTAACCATAAGTATAAGGTATTAACTACCACATAAAAGTATTTTTTTATTTACACAAAAATGCCCATCTTTGAAGTGCTGATAGCTTGAAAAATTGGAAACCATTGACTTTCTACATCCAATATAAAATATCTACCAACTAACCATGGTTTATCTATATACTGATTGTACTCTAGTTTAAGTAAACTATTAACCCAATTTTCAGCATTAAAATTTACAAACTTAAGAGTTTGATAACCGCATTTATTAGATGCTACAATAACTATGAAGTTGCACTCACATACTTTACTTAAACCCCAACCTCTAAGATTAAAACTAACATGAAAAACATAATACCTTTTCATATTTTTCTTCCCACACAATATCACAAATTGAACCCCACAATCATCATAATATTATTGATTTTTAATCTCAATTATAAGCTCTTGTTTTGTTTTATTAGTAATATAAAAAACAAATGGACGTTTATCTTGATTAACCACATTATCTTTAATTTTTTAACAATCATATAGCAACAAACTTTTAACAAATTTATTCTTTAAAGATAGTTCATTTTTTAAGTATTTCTTAATTTGAATTTCAAACACAACGTATTTAGTTCCTAACGAAAACCCATTCAAGTTATGATTTTTAATAAAGAAGTCGAGCATTAATGATATTTATCACCAATTTCATCAAACCCCACACAAGGAATCAAATCAAAAGTTATAGGTAATACCAATTTATTCTAATCTGATTCATATTGAGTGGAAGTAGTTGAAAACTCAAGAACCTTTTTTCAAGAGTATCCTCATTCTCCAAGATTAAAGACTATTTCAATAGTTCAAGATTCCGTTGAAGACTTTCTTGAATGTTGTAAATTGATTCCTCCATTTTTGTCTTCTTAGGCAAATTTGATTCTTTGGCCTCTCGCTATCAATGCTTCCTTACTTTCTTTTTTTTTTTTTAGGAAGATCCAATTATTTGGCCTCTACTATCAATGACGCTTTATTTTCTTTTGTTTTTTCATTTTCTAAATAAAAGAGGATTGCTCCACCAACATCATCAATTACAATGATTTAGGTCCACAATGACTTCTTACAATTGATTCCTTTATGATTTTTCACCATTATACCAAAAACAAATATCATAAACATAACCTCTCTCATTCAACTAAGAAATGGTAAAATACTTAACTAGAATTTCTATCATTGATGTTAATTTATGTAATTGATGTAATTGATACTAAAATTCAGTATTCCACGAGTGCCAAGAATTGCTCCGTTATTGATTGATGCGAGTTCAATTTCAATCAAGCATAAATTAGAGCGAAATGCAATAGATCAAAGTAAAAAATATGTAAACACAAAGCTTTATAAGAATGAACACTAGAATAGTGCCTCGAAGGAAATGGAAAATATGATTGTATTGATGAAAAAAAATTACAAAAAATGATTCTTTTATCAAGAAATCCTAACTAAAAACTCTAAGAATTACAAGAGAAACTAGAGAGAGGTAGAGAGAGAATCTAGAGAAGAAGAATGCTCAAATGTGCACACTCGTGTTTACAGACTTCCCCTCCTCTCTCATTAATGTTATAGCCTTTAAAAAATAACAACCATCCTAACAAACTAATAACAAAAAGTCACATCATCATTTAATAATTCACACACTAGTTTCACACTTTCCTCCTTTAATCCTATGTTTCTTTATTGCTTGACTCACATTCTTCGTATAATCCTCTATTAATTATATCATAATAAAGGTAGCATTTTGTGCTAAATTTGTTGATTCAATATTGAATTAGTGCACAATTGAAAGCATGAAGAAATTAGCAATTTTTTAATGTTTTTGAAAGATGAAGAGTCTGTAACAAAAAACAATTATTGAAGCATCATTTTTATTTGATAGAACTCTACAATCTATTATTAATCAACTATTATGGAATATCAAATTAAATTTAATATTGGGTTTATACCATATTTGATCCATGTACATTTTTAATTTTTTTGATTGAGACCTCTATAATTTTTTAGCTTAATTAAAACCTTATATTCTTACAAATTTATTAATTCAAACTCTTCGTTATAACTCCATCAACTATTCATCCGACATAGCACGCTACCATTACGTCCAACTATCATTGATCGACACATGGCGTTGTAGGACTAATAACAATGTTTTCATCCAACATTAAAAAAAAAAAGATTAAATAATATATTAATAATTTTAATTTTTTTAATAATATATTAATACTTATAATTAAAAATAATAATTGGAAAAGATAAATTTGTTCTCAAACAAAGAAATTGTAACGATATTTAATTTTAATTAATGAATTAACTATTTTGGACATGATCTTTTTAATTATTCATCCGGGAAACAAAATTCTCATAGGCCAAGTACGAACTAGATCTCTTCGGTCGATTTTTTCATTAATCGGTTCAAGCATGCCCGCTCGCAAGTAAAGGAAGGGCTCTATTGATTGGAATATAAAACCTAATTCCACCGGGAGAAAGAAGCTAGAAAGAAAGATCCAACGAGTGACCTTAGTTGTTACAAACCCGAATTCTTTTTTAGATAACTTCTTTTAAATCATCATTTGCAGTGTTAACTTCCACATAAATTCAAGAAAAGAAGTAAACATAAATGCAGCATCCATCTAGTCATATATGCTTCTCCCAAACGTAACTTTCAAATGCCAAATGCTTGTTACAATAACCTATTAGTACACTTTTATAATTGATTAAATGCTTTGAGGCAGAATTTTCTTTCTTAAATCAAATGAAATGTATAGAAACCAAACCACAAATTACTTTCAAACAAACCCACTTAAAATTCTTAAGAAACCAAACCATTCACTTTCACTTAGCAATAATTTTGACAATAAAATCTGGATCCTCCCATCGAATTGACATCAACCTCTTGAATCCACTCATCAAATCGCTAACGCAACTTCCCTCTAATATTGGTCAAAATATAACCCGGATCCATAACGGATACAAACTCTATGTTATTCTTATGGAGCACTTCAAATGCATCTCGTAATTGTCAATCAAATGGCTTAGCTTTCTTGTGTTTTGCCATTAAATCAAGGAATCTAAGAAAATCAATCAATGTTGTCAAGTTCTCCTCGATAATTATGGATTTTAATTAGACTTAGGTCGAGTTTTCATTAATAAATCGCATTAAGATCCCTAATTTCAAATTAAGGTTATGAAATTTTAGGGATTTAGGGACTCGTAGGGATTTAGAGTTTCTTTAAAAGGTGAGAGAATGAGATTGAGAATGCAAAAAATAATTATGAAGAAGAAGAAGAAGCGATAAAGCTTAAGGTTTCGATCGGAGAAGAAGAAAAGGGAAAAGAAGCAAAGTGAGGGATTAGAAGATTTAGGAAGCCTAGGGTTTCATTAAAGAGGAAAAAGAAGAAACGAAGTAAAGGACTATATTTAGAAAGAGACAATGAGGACGAACGATTGGTTTTGGGATAATGGGATGGATGGTAAGTTTGTATTTTCAATTAATGTTTTAATTATAAATATTAATTTATATTAAAAATTATTATTATTTTTTTAATTTTGGACGAAAACATTGATATTTGGAACCCACAACATCACGTGTCAATCAATAATTGGTGAATGTTAACGTTAACGATAACGTGTCTCGTTGGATGAATAGTTGATAGAGTTATAATAGAGAGTCTTAATTAATAAATTTATAATAGTAGAGAGTTTCAATCAAGCTAAAAAAATCATAAAGGGTTTTAATAAAAAAAATTAAAACTATACAAAGACTAAATATGAGATAAATCTATTTAATATTTGTGGTTATTGTGCCCAATCATACCATTGCAGCATTGTTACTGTGTGTTCCAATCCTGTTTGAATCTTCTCTGACGTTAAGACCGCAGGTTTATGGTATAGATGAAGATGCAAAACAAATAAAATCTAAGAAGAATGCAGGTTTAGTAACTATTAATGGTTTTTATTAAATTACAATATGTTGTTGATGACATGAGGTATTAACAACTACCAACAAGTTTATCGTACTACGCCCACGTGGATGGGGCATTGGACTAGCAGCTATAAAACATCATATTTTCTTAATTAAGTTTAAAACTACCCGGTTATACGAAAACACTTTTTCCAAAGAATTAAGTTTTTTTTTAACCATTCCAAGAATAAGTTCAATACGGGCGTTTCATACCTCCTTGGACCTTGGTAGCTACTGCTTCATTCTCTTGGTGGAAGATACTCTCTCCTCAGAGAGAACTAAACACAAAGCACACACAAAATTAAGAAGTTTCAAACTCCCAGAATCAAAACAAGAAGCTGTAAGTCACCTCCTCTCTTTATGTTTTATTATTATTATTATTATTATTTATCCGGAAAACAACTTAGCAGGGGCTAGTCCTATCTTTATGACAGTTTTGGATGTGTGAAATTATTTTTAGCAGTTAATATTGCAAACTGAAATTCGTATTGGCTTTCATAGAACTGAAGTCTTTTGTGCATAATCTACGGAACCCATATGACCCGCAATTTGTTATGATAGTTCTACTTGTTGAATTTCATTTTCTCCATGATTACAATAATGGGTTTAATTCATTTCTTAGTGAAGTTTGAATCTTGATCTTGTTTTTGCTCTCATTTGAATTATTTTAATATGATTTAGAGAAAGCTTTATTATCGTTTAATATGGCTTTGGAAAATCCTGAAACTTTTACTATTTGGTTCGGTAGTTGTAAGGGTGTTTTTTTTTTATGTATTGCCATATAATTAGAGTTTGGATTGACAATGTAGAGATGGAACCAAATAGTGAAATAACCAAAGAGAAGTATGGTGTTGATATCTCCTCCATAAGGGAGGCACAAGTGCGCATCGACCCATACATAAAGAAAACTCCAGTCTTTACCTCAGGAACTCTGAATGACATGTCTAGAAGGAAGCTGTTTTTCAAATGTGAAAGTTTTCAGAAAGGGTGAGAGATTAACAAGTGGTGAATAGCGAAAGTTTTAGATATTAGTATTTTGATTTGATATTGGGTCTTTACATTTTTGCTGTGTTTAATCATGTGGTACGTACCAGACCCTATTTTGTGTTTTCTATCCCTTCACAGTGGGGCATTCAAGTTCAGAGGTGCGTGCAATGCCATATTTTCGCTTAATAAAGATCAGGCAGATAAAGGGGTTGTAACACACAGCAGGTTTGCTCCAAGTTATCTGTGCTTTACGGTTCTTACTCTTTTCTTGTTTGTCTGAAATTCACTGATTGTATCCCCCATAAATAGTGGCAACCATGCTGCAGCAGTGGCTTTGGCTGCAGACTTACGGCATATCCCAGCATATGTAGTTATACCCAACAATGCTCCAAATTGCAAAATTCAGAATGTGATACGTTACAGCGGTCATATAATATATTCTCAGCCTGCATTACAGTCAAGGGAGTCTACTGCAACAAAGATCGTGCAAGAAACTGGTGCAGTTCTCATCCATCCTTATAATGATGTGCGCATTATAAGGTAGTAGACCAACTCATATATTTTGTTGCTTTTGCATCTCTGTTGAATTTGAGCCTGCAAATATTCTACACACCATCTTATATCTTCACTTTAAACGAATGATTCTTTTGGTTGGCTGTTATCTAATTTTCCTTGATTTATTGCCATTAGATCTTCTAGGCTGTTCTCTCGTACCTAACTCTCAGTTGACTTCTTTCTTTTGTTCTGTTCTAGAATGCAGTTCTAATAGGTCTGATCTGTGTTGAATGAAGAAAAAAATTCTTTTACATGTTCCAAAAGAAAATTCTATAGAGCTTAGGATGTCATTGAGAGTTTATGGTTGAAGAAATGTGAGATGATGTAACGAGTGCCCTCTTGAGCTAAAATGTTGTCACTGCCAAGAATAATAATACAGGAATGCAGCTGAACAATTTAGAATTCTTTGCATGGTATATTGGTTGCTGATTCTGTTGCTTCACTTCCAAGTCCAGTATTAGAAAGAGAAAAGGCTTCCGTTCACTATGAGAAATTCATTCTAGCTCTATCTCTAATTTTTACTGCCATAAAAATGACATCAAGCACCTCTGCTTCTTCTCCTTGTTCAAAAATCCTACATAGAGTATATTGAAGAGATTTTCTGTGGATATAAAGAAAATGAAACTGGGCCAACTCGAATTGAGTGTAAGTGTTTGTTTTTGCAGTGGGCAGGGTACCATAGCATTGGAGCTTCTGGAGCAAGCCCCAAAAATTGACACTATAATAGTTCCCATTAGCGGTTAGTTTAATAGCCCTTTCAGTGTCAATTCATCGTTTTGGCCCTGCATCATTTTATCATTATTGATTTCTTCTCCAAACCTGATTCATCATTAACGAACTGTAGGAGGTGGTTTGATATCCGGGGTGGCATTGGCTGCTAAGTCCATCAACCCTTCCATTCGAATTGTTGCTGCTGAGCCTTGTGGAGCTAATGATGCAGCTTTATCCAAAGCAGCTGGAGAGATTGTAACACTGCCTGAAACCAACACCATTGCAGATGGTCTTCAAGCTTCTCTTGGAAGTCTTACCTGGTAAAGCAAACTTCGTGCTTGTGCCTGCATTGAGGATGCATTTTTATTTTTCAATAATCCTTTCTTCGCTATCCAGACATTATGAAGGATGCTTCTCTATCTTTTCTTTTCTTGCATATATTTTAGCAGAATATTGTGGTGGGCATGCTCCCATTTGCCATCGCTAGTTCGTCTCTCAAGTTCATCTAATTCACTTACCCTAGTATCTCACTCTACACCTTATGCTGGAGCAGGCCAGTGATACGAGATTTGGTTGATGCTGTTATAACTGTGGAAGATCAGGAGATAGTAGAAGCCATGAAACTCTGTTATGAGGTTCTGAAAGTGGTAGTAGAACCTAGTGGAGCCATAGGCCTTGCAGCTGTTTTATCTGATAGTTTTCAGAACAACCCTGCCTGGAAGGATAGCAACCACATAGGAATAGTACTTTCGGGAGGTAATCTGGATCTTGGCGTTCTTTGGGATTCAATTTTTGGCTCGTAACTCTTTCTTTCCCTTGAGAATGAAAATCTCTCTCTCGGTGATTAAATAGCATTTATGCTTTGGGCTTATCTACGTATTCTGGCACGAACCAAAAATCAGTATTTTTTTTTTTTGTTTTTTGTTCTTTTTATAGAATAACATTTATGCATTCTACTTGGCATCCTGCCAGCCCCTGTTGCCCCTGTTCTTGGAGCTGAGATGTATGAACAGTTTCAGCCTTTTGGGTTCCTTTCATCTAGTGGATTTGAAGGAAGTGGTGAAAAAAAGTGATATAATAAATGGATTCATGGCCATCGTCATGATGCATTTTTTTATCGTTTTATCTTGACTGCTAGAGGGATCAAGTGGCATAGCTCCTTTGTTAGCTCCCAGAAACATGACTACATGAAATTGAGGCTTTGAACCAATGAACATAACCAACCACTACAACGAATATGCCCTATACCTAACTAAAACTATAGTCAATCACTGGACAACAGGCATTGCTAGCTACGGGTTTGGGTTTCAAAACCCTTGCTTCCCATACCCGGCAGTCTTTGACAAACTAGAATGTAGACTTCAAGCAAAAATATGAGAAACAAAGACCATTTTCACAACAAAACCAATTTGAAAGATGCAAACACCCACAAACAAGCAATGGAAAATTGCTTGAAAATGACTCCACGTATAGGAGAAGACTCCAAAGCATATAACAGGGGTAAAAAAAAGGGAGGATACAATAAAAGTAAACCAGCCATCCGTGTATGAAAGACTCAAATTTCATGTCTTTAGGTCTCATTCTCATATGCTTCGTCCTCATCTTCGTACTCGCCTTCCTCGTCAGCAGTTGCGTCCTGGTATTGCTGGTACTCTGAGACCAAATCATTCATGTTGCTCTCGGCCTCTGTAAATTCCATCTCATCCATTCCCTCTCCAGTGTACCAATGCAAGAAGGCCTTCCTGCGGAACATGGCAGTGAACTGCTCACTAACTCTTCTGAACATCTCTTGGATTGATGTGGAGTTGCCAATGAATGTGGAAGCCATTGTCAAGCCTGTAGGAGCGATGTCACAGACAGTGGACTTGACATTGTTCGGGATCCATTCAACAAAGTAGGATGAGTTCTTGTTTTGGACATTGATCATCTGCTCATCAACTTCCTTTGTGCTCATTTTGCCACGAAACATTGCAGATGCTGTGAGATATCTGCCATGGCGAGGATCAGCAGCACACATCATGTTCTTGGCATCCCACATTTGTTGGGTGAGTTCAGGTACAGTCAGGGCGCGGTATTGCTGAGAGCCACGGGAAGTGAGAGGTGCAAAGCCAACCATGAAAAAGTGAAGCCTGGGGAATGGAATGAGGTTCACAGCAAGCTTGCGAAGATCTGAGTTGAGCTGACCAGGGAAACGAAGGCAGCATGTGACACCACTCATGGTGGCAGAAATCAGATGGTTCAGATCCCCAACTGATAAACAAAATTTTCCAGTTAGTTACCATAAAGGCATCTATCACATTGATCATCACATCAGAGTGAAAAACTAAATAATATAACAGGGAAAGAAGAGTCTCCGAAGTCCCAAATTTATTTATTCTGCGATTAAAAAAAATATCTTCTCAAAATGTAAGGTTATAAATGAGTTACACGGTAACAAAAGATGCCTATTACTTGTAGCAATCCATAGGCAACCATGTGATAAAAAATGAGCATATCAAAACAAGTGTTGACGTGGTTAAAGCTATTGCAAAGGCGTTACTAAAAATGGCAAAACTTATGAAACTTAAATCTTATATCTTTATCAGCCAAAACATCTCTAGCAAGTGAGGCCCACGTGCACACAACTGTATTTGTGAGTCTAAGACGGAAGAATCAGAAACCATGTGGCTTAAACCGTCCAAAGAAACCCACCGAAGAATTGGGCATACCATGAGCGCACAGTTGTTTAATTAGATTCTTATTCTTCTAGGTACGCTAGAATATTGTTTCCAACATAGGTTTCAATTCTTGAGACAGCAAATTCCCATTTAAATAAAGCCCAAACCAAATTCACAAATTACCAACTAAAATGAATCATGATTATGATTACCTCATTCCTAGTTCGGTTTCCAAGAAAATGAAAGGAAAACAAACTAAAGCTGAATTTCAAAGCAGCAAAACCATAATAATTCAAAGCTCTCACAAAAAAAATGCAAACAAAGTGCACACAAAAAACAAACCAAGCCAATGGAAATTGAGCCGAGCAAAGAGAAGTTATAGACAGGCGTGCTTACAGCTGGGAGTCGTGAGCTTGAGAGTACGGAAGCAGATATCATAAAGAGCCTCATTATCAAGAACCATACACTCGTCTGCATTTTCAACAAGCTGGTGAACAGAGAGAGTTGCATTGTATGGCTCGACCACAGTGTCGGAGACTTTTGGAGATGGGAACACAGAGAATGTGAGCATCATTCGATCTGGATATTCCTCCCTTATTTTTGAGATCAATAGCGTTCCCATTCCGGACCCGGTGCCACCTCCCAATGAGTGGCATACCTGAAACCCTGCAATTTAAACAACTGATTGATTTGACTACTTAGAGGAAGACAAACAAGTAGCTCTTATTCAAAAGCTAAATCATGATGATCCGCTCATCATTTTATTTCCCTTGCTTTTCTCTCACTTTCTTGAGAAACAAAGAGTCCTAAATGAGAGATTTGAGTAACATATAGACTAAGCAAATTTTAAGCAACTCACATCTTCCATTAATTTCATTTAAAAAGTTCACACCAGTGAATGACGCTATGTTTCATTTCCCCCGGGAACCAAAGAGGCTTCAACCCACTTTCTTACTTTCCCGAGAAACAAACAGAAGAAAGAACACACATGAAAACGAAATCAAAAATCAAAGCAAAAGGGAAGCAATTAAGCACGCAAATAAGGATTGCCCCATGAAACAACAGACTCCACTTCCTATCTCTCCATTCGTTTTCCCGACAGCCAAACAAATCTGATTTTTCCTTGCGAGTCCAGTTTCCGGAGAAACAAACAGAAAAGGAAAAGGCCCAAACCAAAGGAAAAAAAAAAAAAAAAACCCTACAGTTAAAACTCAGTTACATTTTCCATAACCAAACGACCTCAGTATACCATTTTCTCAAGAACCAAACAGAAAAACCAAAGAAAAAACAAGTAAAAAAAAAAAAAAAAAACCTCTAATAAGAAAGTCTTTGATCCATTATCCTCCATTTCCTTCATTTTCCTGAACCTAACAAATCGTATCACTTAACTTTCCCCAGGAGACAAAAACAGAAAAACCAAACGAAAAATCCAAGTAAACAAAACAAAAAACTCTAATAAGAAAATCTTTGATCCATTGTCCTCCTTTTCCCTCATTTTCCTGAACCTAACAAATCGTATCACTTAACTTTTCCCAGGAGACAAAAACTCCCAGTTCACTTTCCCAATAAACAAACAGAAAAACCTAAGCAAAATACAGAAATAGAAAACTGTTCGTTCCACTTTCTCGGGAAACAAACAGAAACCAAAAACCCACACAAAAAAAAGAAGAAGAAGAAGACCAAAACTCCTTACCTTGTAAGCAGTCACAGTTCTCAGCCTCCTTTCTAACAACATCAAGAACAGAATCAATCAACTCGGCTCCCTCGGTATAATGCCCTTTAGCCCAGTTATTACCAGCACCAGATTGGCCAAAAACAAAATTATCCGGTCTAAAAATCTGGCCATAGGGACCGGATCTAACACTATCCATAGTGCCCGGTTCAAGATCCATTAAAACAGCACGAGGCACAAACCTCCCACAACTTGCTTCATTATAGTAAACATTAACTCGCTCGAGTTGAAGAGCTGAGTCTCCATGATACCGACCCGTTGAGTCAATCCCGTGTTCTGCACAAACTACTTCCCAAAACTTTGCTCCTATTTGGTTTCCACATTGACCTCCTTGGATGTGAAGGATTTCTCTCATTTTCTCGGGAAAGTGGTGGAAAGTTCAGGGGAATTTTTTTTTATTTTTCTTCTAGAAAGTGAAGTTTGGGTTTTGTGGGTTAATTTGTTTCTTGTTTGCTTATAAGAGGGCGATTTGACGGTTTCTGTTTGTTGACGGCGAGAGAAGGGATTGACGTTTGCTTTGGGTGGGAACTTGAAATTTTTGAAATTGGGTTTTGTTTCGGTGGTGGAGGGAGGATTTGGATTTTTGGGGTTTGTGTATTTGTACACGTGGAGAGAAGTGATTGGTTATATGGGTTGTTTGTTTGGCTAATCACCCTAGCGAATAAAGCGGCTAGGAGTAAGGGGGGTTTGTAGTTCGACACGTGGAAAGAAGTAATTTTTTTAGGGGGAGCTGATTGATTTGGTGGAAAGTGAAATCTGGGTAGTAAATGGGCTTGGTTCATTGGATTGGAGTACTATTTTGATTGCTTTTTTATAATCACAGTATTAATGGTGTTGTTAATTTTTGGATTGCTAGATATCGTGAGTAATCGAAGATTAATTGCCAAATTTGGATTGATGAATAAATTGGTGATTGATTGTATCAAACAGCTAGGATTGGTTGGGTCTCCTGCCACCGTGACTCTGTGGGCGAGGAAACTTGGGAATTACTTCAACAGCGAGGATCTGGGGCTGACAAAAAAGTGGACCAGAAGCGTCTAGCAGTGGGTAGTAGCAGAATTGGAAACTGGAAAGGTGTAATCTAAGCAAAGAAAAGGGTTGGTTCATCATGCGAGAACAGACACTTATCCATCCATCACAGCTAGAGAAAGAGCCTTGGAAACGAAAAGCTAACTCCCCACCCTTTTGCTTAATTCAGATTAGTGGACCATTAGTTGGATTATTATCTCTCTTTTATTGTTATTGTATTGTGATCAAAGTTCAGAGGTCAGGTAATGAAAATCCGGCCTTGTCATGGATTAAGTGGGGTGGACCATAAGTTGGAGATAATTAATGGTACAATGATGGCCTACAAGTGATTAGTATGGGTAGTATGCTCGTTTTCACTTTGTTCTAAGGTTTCTCCATTTTTGTCTTCTCACAATATTCCAATTGGTAGGCTTCAACTAGAAGGCAAGCTAAGCTGTATTTATGCTCATGATTTAAAGTTCTTGGGTCATCTTATGGGATGTTGCTTTTTAGTTTTTTTCTCAATATGATCGGCCAACTCTTCTCAAATTAAACTTGGAATTAGAGCACTTTAATCCGAATTCGATAGATACTATCTAAATCCATTTAAATGTGTGGCGTCCGAGGCCCAAACATGGAGACCACAAGTGTTACGACTGCGTCAAATATTTATAGAGCGCTGGACGTGGCTGCAACATGCTCGGTCAACAGAGGTTAGGTGCACCGCGACCATGTCCTACGCTCACCAAATACACAACGATGCCCTATAACATGAGACACTACAAAAATCAATTGAATTAGCGACGATCGATACCATCGCTAATTCAGAAAAAAACTATCGGTAAAATGTTTTGGAGATGGTTTAGCAACAATCCAAAGAATCTTGCTAAAATGCCAATCGTTAAATTTTTGCGATGGTTTTTGGATCGTTGTCAATTTTGCGATGAACTAAACTGTCGTAAAAAATAAAAAACCATTGCTAAATATGGTAGTAAAACGAGAAAATATTTACGATGGTGAAAAAAACGCTCGCTAAGACTTTGCAACGGTCCGAGACCGACGCAAATTATTGGGGATTAGCGACGGGATTAGCGACGGTCTAAACCATCGCTAATTGTTTGATTTTAATTTTTTTCACTCCCAATTTAAATATCTAAAATTAACCAATTTCTATTAAAAAAGTCTACTAAATATCTAAAACATAATATTTTAAAATTTCATAATTATTAATATAAATTGTATTAAAACATAATAAATATTATTCAATTATTAAATTCATGAAAACGAGTACAACGTTTGCTATTATTACAAGAAAACATGATAGCTAAGAGAAATTGCCGGGATCATTGGAGGTTGGGTGGAGTCGTCGTCGGTCTCGGGCACGACGGATGAACTACCACCTTGCTGAAAATGTTGCATCTATGACATCATCATATGTTATTGTCGACTATACTCCTTCAACTCATTTGTTGTAGCCAACAATGATGTGATAGTACCCTCTATCGTTGTGAAAGTGCCTCATAAGTTATGGATATCTATCGTATTTGCGGGTGTTTGATCATGAACTTCCTTAAGCTGTGCCTTCTCGGCGGCATGGAATCGCGAAGTTGTCGAGTTTGACGTTGTATTGACGTTAGAGTAATGGTGAGATGCGTGTGATCCGAGTTTGTACATCCTCTTCCTCTTACTATCTCCTCCACCAATGGCCTTCCTAAAAATCCGTCGACTATACTCCTTCGACTCATTTGTTGTAGCCAATAATGATGTGATAGTACCCTCTATAGTTGTGAAAGTGCCTCGTAAGTTATGGATATCTATCGTATTTGCGGATGTTTGATCATGAACTTCCTTAAGCTATACCTTCTCAACGAGCATGGAATCGTGAAGTTGTCAAGTTTGACGTTGTATTGACGTTAGAGTAATGGTGAGATGCGTGTGATCCGAGTTTGTACATTCTCTTCCTTTTACTATCTCCTCCACCAATGGCCTTCCTAAAAATCTCATTAATGTTGGCTCCGGTGGATGCGGTTCCTCTCGACTGTCGGGTAGCAACCTCTTCCTCATATATTAATCTTTGTATGGTCTCTTACATAATTGTGAAACACATAATATTAAATAGGTATGTGAAATAATATTATAAACTAATAACTTATGTCGATAAGTCTTGATTGTTGATCGACGAAGACAAGCCGATCATCAAACTTTCCTTGATGAGTCCTCAAGAAAACCTCGTGAGGATCGGGTTCACGACCAAACACATCACGCTGAAACCATTAATATAATTAAATGTATTAAATATACTCAAATATTTAATTAATTATTTTGGATATCATTATAAAAAAATTATATATATATATATATACATCATGTGTATTGCATGCTCTCTATGGTCGATCGATCTCCTTGTATGTCTTGAAGGATCAACTCCGACGCCACCGGTCTCGCTCCTACGGTTCCGCGTCGCCATCTCAAATCGGGCAACGGCCTCGGGTTTTGCCCATTTTGTAGTCCATGCATCCTATATTTCCTGTGAGATAAATGCTAGCATCAATTTTTTCCCGAGATGACAAAGAAAGTCGGAATATCGCTTCCGTGCGAGACTTTTTCATGCTTTCTTAACTCGTGCTCTCGTTCATATCATCATCTCGCGTAAATGATTTACGTAAGAAAACTAATAATATTCATTACTAAATTTATTTGGATATTATTATGTGTTATTTAAATATGAAATAATGTAATAAATTAATTAAAAAAATTAGTACTTTAAACTCTTCCCGAGTATAAATCTTTTGTCTCCGGACTCATTTTCTTACATGTCCATCCAAAAATATAAACATACTCCTGGAATGTCTTAAAGATCGTGTGAGAGCAAACATCGGAGGGATACAACCTACGAAAATAGACAATAATTAAATTAAAAAATAAATGAATACATAATAACGGTAATAAAAAAAATGTGTCATAAAATTAAGCATAAAACGTACTCATTGCGACTAATGACAATGGCCATAACTTGCGGGTCGACCGTCAATGTGATAGGTTCCAAAGCCGATGAACACAGGATGTTCCGCAACGAGACGTGTTTAGGAACGAACGATTGTCTTGTTATGATGACGAGGGCACCGACGACGATGAAGGAAAAGATGAGGGAGGACGTAGAGGTCCATAATGAGGATATAGTTGAGGCCGAGACATGTCAAGCCTTGAACGATATGTCGGGGGGTGACCAAAAGAATGGTATGGAGGCATGTCTATGGGGGGACCCATCCAACCGGGAACGAAATGAGAATGGTGTCCACGTCCACGATCACTACCCGACTTAATATCCGAACCGCGACCCTCACCATATGACATAGGCCAACGTATCTCGAACGTCCCCTGCCTCTAGTCATTATGACCTACACATTATTACATTCATTAGTATTGGAATTAAATATTCATTATATAATGCATACCAACATATAACATTCAAATTAATATGAACAATTTGAAATATATTTAAACAACATGAACACACAAACATATATTTAAATGTTACCTTAAAAAAGTAAATGTAAACTATGTAGGCCAACAAAACCATATACCTTTTTTTTTTTTTTTTGACGAACGGGGATGTTACCTTGGAGATATATTGAAATAATGTGAAAAATTTCATGGGAGACAAAACCAGACTTAGCCCAACAATCTTAAAGATTTATTGAAATCATGTGAAAAATTACTTAACTATTTAACTTAATGAACAACTAAATAAGCTTAATTAATAATAAATTTTAAAATTACTAAATAAAAATATATTAAAATTTAATTAATATTTAATTTATTAATTAATTTTGTAGTTACTTAACATTTTAACTTAATGAACCAATAAATAAAATTAATCACTTATCAATTTTTTAATTACTAAATCTAAATTCAACAAGCATATATTAATTTTTTAAATACTACTTAATTTTTTAATTACTAAACATTTAAAATATTTCTAATAATTTAATTTATTATCTATTGAATATAATTTCGAAAAAACTTAAATTTCTTTATTCTTAATAAATATTCTAATTACTTAACTATTTAAATTAATGAACAACTAAATAAGCTTAATTACTAATAAATTTTAAAATAACTAAACAAATATATATATATATATATATATATATATATATATATATATATATATATATATATATATATTACAATTTAATTAATATTTAAATTGTCAATTAATTTTTTAATTACTAATTATTTTTTTCATTACTTATAATATAATATATTTCTAATAACTTATTAACAATTTCCTAAAATAATTAACTTTCAAAAACACCAACAATTAAACTAACAAAATTAATAAAT